GCTTCGACGTTGGGTGTCTGACCACTCCATGTCGCTCTTCGGTCTATCGGATTCCTCCATGATCGACTACCTTCTGCTAACAGCCACTCAAAGCTCTTCCCTCTCCGCACTCTCCTCTTCCCTCTCTTCATTAGGCCTGCCCGACAATCAGGAAGGCCAAGCATTCGTCACGGGTTTGTGGCAACGTGCGGATCGACCCGCCTCCGCCTCCGCCGTCGCTTCCACCCACACCCCCTCTGCGTCTGCTAGCACCACCGCTGCGCTGCCCATGCAACAAGAGAGACAGAGATATGGTTTGTTGCTGGACGATGCCGAAGAGATGGAAAGTCTGTCTATCAAGCCTGAAAAGCGCAAAAAGAAAAAGGCTCGATTGGCGGCAGCGGCAGCGGCAGCAGAAGAGGAAGGAGTGGAGCGAGAAAGGAAGCGCGGACGAGAAGAGGAAGCGGGAGCGGGAGCGGGATCACAAGAAGAGTCGGAAGATGTTCGATTAGAAAAGGCGCGATTAAAAGATGCGCAAGAGCGAGACGAATTCAGTCGACGTATGCGGGAGCGCGATAGCGGGTCATCGAGCAGCAAGCGATTGATCGAAGATCGGTCCTCCAAACTGAACCCCGAAATCGAAGCTCGTCGATTGTTGGCTGAAGATGCGGATGCGCGTCGATCAGCCATGCCCGATCTGCGTCAACGTTCTCGTCAGGAATATCTGGCAAAGCGTAGCGTTCAGCAGTTGGAACTGTTGCGCATGGAAGTGGCGGATGAGGAGAGGTATCTGCGCGGCATCAAGGCGACAAGGAGGGAGAGGAGAGAGTTGCAATACAAGAAAGAGGTGCTTAGGATCGCGGAAGAGAGGGCGGCAATCGATGAGGATGAGGACAAGTACGCGATGCCAGAGGATTACATTACCGAAAAGGGAAGATTGGACAGCAAGAAGAAGGAACAAGCTCTGTATCAGAGGTGTGAGTGCCATGCATCAAGCCGCCAGCGTCGCCTCGCCTCGCCTCGCCTCCCGCTAACACCTCACGCACACTCCCTCCTCCTCCCCCTCGCGCATCACCACAGACGAAGATTCGCGCAACGAGCGATTGGCGCAAAAGAATCACATTACAGACGTGGACCTCTTTGAGCGGGAGCAGATTGAAAAGTCTCGCATCGCACCGTTGCGCGCAGGAGATGGCGGTATAGCAGGAATGAGTTTGGCACAAGCAGAGGAGGAAGAAGCGTACGAGTACGTATTCGACGATTCTCAACGCATCGATTTCCTCATGGATTCTCCCGAAAAGTTGGCGGACGCTTTCGCATCCCTCTCCTCCAAAGATGCCGCCTTGCAAGCTCAGATCAAAGAAGCCGAAGCTCGAGTCTCGTCGATCGAGCAGGTGAGAAAATCCCTGCCCGTCTATGCGCTTCGAGAGGAATTGCTGGATGCTATTGCGGGCAATCAGGTGCTGATCGTGGTGGGCGAGACGGGTAGCGGAAAGACGACGCAGTTGCCTCAATTTCTGCACGAGGCGGGATACACCAAGGATGGGATGAAGGTGGGATGCACGCAACCTAGACGTGTGGCTGCCATGAGCGTAGCGGCTAGGGTTGCCGAAGAGATGGGGGTGAGGTTGGGCAGGGAATGCGGGTACAGGTGAGTCTTGCAGTCTCTGCTACGATGCTCCTCCTGCTCTTGCTCCACCCCTCATCCTCTCCACACCAACACGCGCGCGCCACAGCATCCGCTTCGAAGATTGCACGTCGGACGTGACCGTGTTGAAATACATGACGGACGGTATGCTCCTTCGAGAGTTCCTCACCGAACCGGATTTGGCAGGTTATTCGGCGCTGATCATCGACGAAGCGCACGAAAGAACCCTCTCTACGGATATCCTTTTTGGATTGGTCAAGGATGTGGCTAGGTTCAGACCGGATCTCAAATTGATCATCAGCAGCGCTACCATCAATGCGGATAAATTCAGCGAGTTTTTTGACGATGCGCCAATCTTTTATGGTGAGTCGTGGTGAATGCAGGACGCGTTTGCAACGTTGCATGTTGTTGATCGCGTTTCTAATTCCCTCTGCACCTGCCTGTACCTGGACCGGATTTGCAGTGCCCGGTCGACGTTTCCCCGTAGACATTCACTACACCTCTCAACCCGAAGCCAACTACCTTCACGCGGCCATAACCACCGTCTTTCAGATCCACACGACGCAACCTGCAGGCGACATTTTGGTCTTTCTGACCGGTCAAGATGAGATCGATGTGGCCATGGAGAATCTGCAAGAGACTTCTAGAGCCTTGGGGAACAAGATTGGTGAATTGATCGTCTGTCCCATCTATGCAAATTTGCCTAGCGAAATGCAAGCGAAAATCTTTGAACCCACTCCGAAGGGCGCTAGAAAGGTACGCGTGCTTCAGAGCGGGCCCGACTTCCATGATGACGTGTTGTGTAGGGTGCTGACACTCTGCTCGTCCACGTGAACTGCGCCCACATTCCCCTGCTCGTCACAACATGGATGGCGCCCGCCCCCACTCGATAGGTCGTGCTGGCTACAAACATCGCAGAAACATCCATCACCATCGATGGAGTCGTCTTTGTCATCGACCCCGGCTTCGTCAAGCAAAATTCTTACAATCCCAGGACCGGCATGTCTTCTTTGACCGTCGTGCCGGTGAGTGGCTCAGCCCTGCGCGCAGAGTCCAATTACGTGCTACAGACTGTTGTTGATGCCCTGATCTCTGTGCATCAAATTCTTGCCCGCATCACTTTGCTCTTCGTAGTGCTCTCGAGCCTCGGCAGATCAAAGAGCGGGCAGAGCAGGTCGTGTGGGACCAGGCAAAGCTTTCCGACTCTTCACAAAGTGGGCGTTTGAGAACGAGATGGAAGCGCACACGACGCCGGAGATTCAGCGTACCAATCTGGCCAACGTGGTTCTGCTGCTCAAATCCGTCGGAATCGACGATTTGTACAACTTTGACTTTTTGGATCCGCCGCCGACGGACACGTTGATGCGGTCTTTTGAACTGCTCTACGCTCTGGGCTCCTTCAACGATCGAGGAGAGCTGACGAAATTGGGAAGGAGACAGGCTGAATTTCCAATCGATCCCGCACTGAGCAAAGCTATACTTGCGAGCGAGACTTTTGGATGCACAGACGAAGTGCTCTCCATCGTTTCCATGCTTCAAGAATCCTCCTCCATCTTTTTCCGTCCCAAGGAGAAGAAGTTGCATGCGGACAAGGCTAGGGCCAGTTTTGTTCGTGCGGGAGGAGATCACTTTACCCTCTTGAACATTTGGGAGCAGTGGGTCGAATCTGGCTACTCTTTCAGCTTTTGCATGGAAAACTTTGTTCAACCCAAAGTGCTCAATCGGGTTCGAGATATCAGGGATCAATTGGCCCAATTGGCCGAGAGGGCAGAAGTCGTCTTGCAGAGCAACAAGGATTCCAGCGATGTCACACCTATTCAGAAAGCCCTGCTTAGCGGCTTCTTCATGAATACCGCCACGATCCAAAAGGGAGGCGAAAGCTATCGAGCTATCAAGCAGGCCGCTACCGTTCATGTACGTGAGTATCGAAGCGCCCTCCTTTTCGTGAGCGCTCTGAGCGCCCAAAAAAAAAAAAAAAAAAAAAAAACCCAAA